AGGTGGGTGATTGGGCTCAAGATTGCACTACTCCGAAGCTTGTCAAGTGACTAGCTACGACGGCAAAGACCAATCTGTTCAAGAGTGATGGAATTACTATAGTAAATGAAGTTGGCAAAGAGTTTTACAATATATAGGCAATTGCAACACCAAGTAAGTGGCTCCTAAACTCTAGTTGTACTAATCTTATGGGCAATAAAAAGAGTCGTTTTGAGTGTTACTAGCTAAGCATTGGAAAATATAGTGTTCATTTAGGTGATAATACCATTATCCCCATGGAAAGCATTGGGCAATTTTGGCTCTCACTTGATCATGAGAGGACCATGATATTCAATGGTGCCATGCATGTCTCCACCTTGTGACAAAACTTAATATCTGTCGCTAAGATATGTGATCAAGATGCAATGGTAGTCTTTGATGCAAAAGAAGTCTCTTTGGTTGACTCTAGTGACTTTCATATGCTTGGTACACAATTGCATCATGGGCCACTCATTGAGGACTTATACAAAATCACTACTGCCAACTAGGTTCAAGCCTTTCAAACCATGGAGGTAGTGTAAACTCCTGAGTTTAGACTTCTCAGGAGGTCACCCAGCCTAGTACTATTTTAACCCAATGATGCTTAACCCAAATATCCCAAGACCCTTAACTAATTAGAAAAGGGGGTGCATTCTTGTTCATGGGCCCTTTCCCTCTATATTTGAACCCCATGGACTGTCTCTCAAGTCGTTCTCTTTAGTTGCTTACAGGTAGATTCTAGTGTAGAGCTCTGGCACAAGAGACTTAGTCATATGCATTACCAATTTTTTCAATAAATGAAATCCCAAGATATTGTTACTGAATTGGACTTTCGACATATTTACATTTTGTGAAGTTTGTGTTCTAACAAGCATCACCACCAAAATTTCTCACCAAGAAAGCATCAAGCAATTGGACTTTTAAACTTGGTCCATTCTAATCTTTGTGTCCCTATGGACATGCCAAGCCATGATGGTACAAAATATTTTTATTGAAAACTAAGGAAGAAGAGAAAAACTCTATTACTCAGATATCATCATTGCTATATATGCACAGGTGAGAGTCGTGATCTCTAAATCCACCACATCTCAGCCATACAGTGATCTCAGATGTACTACATCCTCACACCCCCACTCAGCCGAGATCATGTTATGATGTAGGCATATGACTACAAGCCATAGCCCGTTACACCCTTTAGCAAAATGGTGTTGCAAAAAGGAAAAATCACACTCTTGTTAATATTGCTTGTGCTTTGTTAGCTAATGCACATCTTGATAAGACATTTTGGCAAAAGGCCATAGCCACAATAAGCCACAACAAAATCCTTCTTTCATTGCTGAAACTTAACTTGTTCTTTTGATCCCACTTATGGAAAATGGTCCATTTTTGCCTCTACCTTTAGATCCTATTCATGAGTTGCCACTAGAGATTCCACTAGGGAATCCTCCACTTCTAGATATGCCTGAATCAACTGATGCTCTCCTCCAGTTGAGGACAAGCCTCCGACACCTCCACCACCTTGTCAACATTATGGCATGCTTGATCCGATGCCAATTCTTGATCACCCCCAGGACATCAGCCCTTATTGAAAGTCCAGGAAAATGCTGAAGAAGATGCTACAAAGCTTAATGACTTTTGTGGCCTTATCATTGTTGGCATCCCCATGACCTATTATGAGGCTATCTCAAGACCTGAGGCTCCATCTTGGATGGAAGCTATTGAGGAAGAAGTTAGTTCCATTCAGGTTAACAACACTTATGTTCTAGTGGATTCAGCACCACCGAGACAACATGTTTTGGATCCAAAAGTATGGGAAAGATGGTCAAGTGGTATGTTATAAAGCACGATTTATTGTTCACAGATTTTAGTCCATGGGCTTGACTATGATGAAACATTTTCAATGGCCAGCCTCCATACCCTTTTTGCACTTGCAAATGGCAAGTCCACCATATGGATGTCAAAACAGCATTCTTAAATAGGGATTTGCAAGAGATCTTGGTTTTGAGGAGGAAAGCTTTATATGGCTTAAAATAGAGCTCCCTTGTTTAGTATCAAAAATTTGCCACCCTACATGCTCAGGGTTTTAGTTGCTAGCATGCTAATCACAATGTGTATGTGAATGGTCATGCTAAGAGCATGCTTATTGTGGCCCTCTACATTGATGATTTACTCATCATGGGTGATGACATCAATGCCATTGCTGCTCTAAAAGCTGCTCTCAACTAGCAATTCCAAATGAAGGACCTTGGCCAAGACTCTTACTTTCTTAGCTTTGAGGTCACATGCAATCCTGAGTCTGGTGGCTATATGCTTAGCCAACTATATAAGATCAAAGTCTTCCTAGATCGTGATTGCCACCCCATCAAGACCCTGATAGTTGTTGGTGCTATTGACCTCATAGTTGAGTAGTCTAGTGAGCCTCTACCCACTAGGATTCCCTATTGGCATCTCATTAGTTGCCTCACATATTTGGCCATGATGACTTGCCCGAACATCACATATGCAACTATTGCCTTGAGTCAGTGCAATACATCACCAACCATCATACATTAACAAGCTGCCAAGTATATTGTCAGATACCTCCTGGGCACTATAGACTGCAACATTGCTTATTTAGGGGGTGATGCATTATTGACATGTTACATGAATGCTAACTTTGTCAACAAAGGTCATCATTCAACTTCTAGCATTTGCCTTTCCTTCTCAGGAGGTGCCATGGCATGGGCCTCCAAGTGACAATCTGTGGTGGCACTTTCTAGTGCAGAAGCAAAGTACATCTCACTCATTACTGGTAGCAGGGACAGGGACATGGTCTAGGCCCAAGGGTTACTTGCTGAGCTGGGATGTGCACAGGCCCCACTACTTCTTGATGTGACAACTGAAGCAGCATTGCCATGTCCAAGAACCCTGTCCACCATGCTCGCTCAAAGCACATTAAGTTCAATTTCACTATGTGCATGAGTTGGCTGAAGGTGGCACCCTGGCAGTCCAACATCTTGAGACACAGGACATGCCAGCCGACCTTCTCACCAAGCTATTGGGGCCACACCAGTTTCAGCTCCTACGCAACAGATTTGGTTTGGTGAGTGGCTTCGGTTTGAAAGACACTAGGGCTTCCTGTTGTCTGCAATTGATCCTCACTATTGTCTACAGACCACGACTCATGCAACCGGGTAAGCTTCTCCAGTGAGTGGCATCCTCAATGAGTGACTTCCATCGCTTGCTTACAACCTTGCAGTAGACAAGGTCTGGAATGGGGAGCCACGCCAAGATCCAGCAGATGCACTCGTCAGGTAGCTCCTTACACTCGAAACTCTCAGGAAACAAAAAGGCGAGGCAAACACGCAGCCCGGCCAACATCTCGAAGCAAAACAAGACGAGGCCTTAAACTTTAAGTGGTTGGAATTATATTTTCTCGAATCCACTTGTATTGCGATAGCAGCGCCCAGATGCCGTGTCCTCGTCCAAGAGGGAGAGAGATTTCTCGGTGGAGCAATGGGATTTGGAGGCCACTGCGGCTTCTCCCACGGTTGTGACCCCGATGATGAGCCTCTACAATGCCATTGCGACGGCCGAGCTCAAGTTCCCACGTATCTCTTGGTCCTCGGCATCCCCCATTCTCGAGGGATTTGCCCAGTCAATTCGCGGGAGCTAGATTGAAACAGGTGAGCAATCTCTCTCATCTATAGATCATTTGGTAACAAGATGGCTTTCACGGGTCCCCTCCCCAATCTCATACAGTGGTCCCGAGAGGCTGCGAAAAGGGAAACTACAGTGGAAGGCTTTCATCCAGTGAATAAAATGCCTCTTTTCACTTTTTCAATTCTGTTGCAGTCATAGTTGGCTAGTCGATCAATTCATCAAGTGCAGGGTTTTTTTGCTTTTCTTTATCTGTTTCTCCAGGGTGGCGAGCTCGCATCTACCTCGTACGAAAATGTTCGTACGACCAAAGCCACCTATACATGTGGAAATTGGGGCCCCAAAACTTAGGACAATCTTGGCTCACAAGCGCAAAGCTGGCGAGGATGAAGCGTGCGTCGCGAACAAGAAGGTGTGTGGTGGTGGTGTAGGAGTCAGATTAGGAAAACCATGGCAGAAATGGGCCATTACCATTTGTACTCGTGAGCGAGGACTTGATGAAATAAAAGCATCTTCTCCTTGGAATGTATTCACTGATGGTTCCTTCGATAAAGAGTCGCTCTCGGCAGGGTACGGCGTCTACTTCCCGTCGGCAGAGCAGTCCCACAAAGGGACGGGCACGGCTGTGCAAGTCCCGCAGGAGAACGGCTGGTGCAAAAACGGGAACCCTATCGTCGACAGCCTCATCGTGTCTTCGCTCAACATGGAGCTTCTTGCGATACACGACTCCATCGCGGCGGTGCAGCTGTACAGGGCTCGAGGTTACTGGCAGTCCAACAAGCTGAATATCTACACGGACAGTTTGCAGTCGCTAAAGCTGTTGCAGTTTGCGCAGTGCCGGCCTGAGCACCCCGACTGCATCCAGCTCAAGCCGCTCCTGCAGTGCATCGTTGGTGCGGCAGCAAAGAGCGGGATCGGCTGTGCAAAGTCAAGGTGCACGACAAGGTATATGAGAATAATGTAGCGGACGGGCTCGCCAGGAGAGGGCGCCAACTCGAGGGGAGGAAGATCCAGTGGTTCCACGCAGAAAGGTCTGCTAAGTCGACCAGCGATTGTGAAATTGTGAAATATAGTGAGATTGAAGTAATAGCTATTTCTCTCCCTTTTTCTTGAAAAGGCTTGTTAACTATTATTTTCAATATAGTGATACATTAATAATTATTTTGATTTTGTTAGCTGATCAAATTTATTTTATTTTTCTTGTAACTAATAAATAAAAAATGTTAACTACCATACAACAGTAAGCTTTAGGGTTAGATAGCGAGAAGAGCGCGCTGGACAGGGTTGGAACCTGTGACTTTCTGCTCCGGAAACAGACGCTCTATCCACTGAGCTACATGCGCTTTACACGTCATCCATTTGTTAGATTTTCATTTAGTTAACACAGAGAGTGAAAGATAAGATTGATCTACAAAAAACCCGGGCTCGGGATTCTGGAATTACGGTACAAGCTCTCAAAAATACCTATTGGAGGAAGCAAAGTCCATGGCCGCTCGGGCCTTGGCTCTGCTTAAGTCGATGCCCATTAACCGACCTTCGTCCTCGGTTATAATCTCGATGTCTCTCATGTCTCTCTTGAGCACACCAGCGAGACGTGATATAGCTTCAGTTTGCTTGCGTAGAACCTGGAATATAAACACGCCCCGATAAGAATGGAGAGCTACCATTGGAAACAAAAGACTGCACCTCTTGAATGTCAGTCAAGCTTTGCTCGTCGAGCTGGCCTGGTAGAAACGATGCATTTCCTACGCCTGCGCGCAGGCGTGAAATCGACAAGACCGAGTCAACTTTCCTTGGAAGCTCTGTCGTTGGCTGGAGCTGAGAAGGTAAAAGGCACTCTTAAGTTCCTACGTCGTATCAAAGAAAGACTTACTTGTCGTGCCAGAGTTCGTAACTTTTCTCCCAGAAGTGTTTCGGACCTTGTCAAAGGCATCCGTAAACCCTTCGCTTCAAGCATTTCGATTATCCTCGTAAGCTGGAAAAAGGAAAACAAGTTAGAAACCCCCACGCTCTTGGAAAAACTAAACAGACCTTTAACAGCTTCCGTTGCAGCTGCTGCTCCTTGAGTCTTAACCGTTGGAGCCAAGGTAACGTGACGACCTGGAAATGTCTTTGCAACTGCGAAAAAACGGGAGAGCTAAATTGCAAGGCACAGTGGCATCCAAAGCTCACCAGCTTCACGTTGCTTTCAGTAGCCTGCAGCCTGTTCGTATCTGAAGAGATTGCCTCGTCTTGCAGCTGCCTCCCGACACATGTCAGCCTAAAAACGATTGTAACAGAAATTTCAACTCAAGGGAAACGTCACCTGAAGTCGCTTCGAAAGGTCTTTGAATCCCAACAGCAGCTCTGGGTATAGCCGCTCCCGATCTTCGGTTCCCATCGTCTCAAGCTTGCTCATCACTTCGGCCCACATGATCTAGGAAAAAAGAGAAGCAAAATGTTACGGATATACTCTAAATCATGATTCATCTTTACATCAGAAACGCCTGGAGGTTTGAATCGCTGAGAAGGCTCCGTGACACTAAGCAAAAGATGCTGCATACAAAATGGTTGTGAGTCTCACAGCATAATACACTTCTCTTACCTTGAATGCGTAACAAGAATTAGCAGGGTCCTCCCTATAGGCGTCACAAATCGCCTGTATAGAACCAGCAAGCACTAGTCAGAGTAAGAAGGTAGCTAAACCGAGTCTAATCCTTGCCTGGATTTCCCTCTCCGGAAGCGGTACTGCCAAAGGTGCGACAGGAGCCATCTGTGTCGTCAACTGGCCTGGGAACATCGGCTGCTGTGGAGGCTGACCAAAGCCAGGAGTTTGGCCAAACGGCGGAGCTGGAGTTCCAAACATGGACGAAGAAGGCTGTGCTTGGCCGAACAGGGAGCTGCTTTGAGTTTGTCCAAACAGTGACGAAGAGCCTGGAGAGTCCAAACTGTGAACAAACAGAAGAAGGAAGAAAAAATACATACTTGGCGTGCCGAACAAGGATGTGCTTCCAAATGCTGGTGTGCTGCTCAAACCAAACGCTGGAGTGGATGGAGTCGTGCTACCAAAAACTGGAGTCGAGCTTCCAAATGCCGGGCTTCCAAAAACTGGAGTGCTGCTACCAAACGCCGGCGTCGAAGCTCCAAAGGCTGGAGCCGTCGGCGTCTGGGTCGGGGTTGAGCCAAACACCGGGGTTGAGGATCCAAAAGCCGGTGTGGAGCTTCCAAACAGTCCACCACTCGACGCGCCGCCGAATGCCGGGCTCGATCCGAAAAGACTGCCCCCTCCAAACATCGAGCTGCAAGAAATGCCGGAAATCCTACGAAATCCTTCCCCGAAAAGAGAGAAAGATCGAGCGATCTTACCCGGTGGAAGCTGGAGTCTGCGGCGTGAACAATCCAGCGCCAGATCCGAGGGCCGTGGAGGGAGCCGCGGGCGTCGACGGCGTCCCAAAGAACGACATGACTATAAACCCTAGCGTGAACCCTCGCCTTGGAGAATATTTCAGAGAATATGCCTTGTGAATGGCGGGAAGAATATTCACCAGCATCTCTTGGAACTAGCCCTAGTTTCCGTGAGAGAGGCAATGTGGAACAGCGTGATATCGTCGCCGCGGCCAATCCTCCACACGGATGGAGCGCGGGAGCTGCGCAAGGTGCTAATCTCCAGGAGAAATTCCAGGTCTCGATGCTGCTGCCGGGCGGGATTGGGAGATTTTCCTTCCGATGGGGATGCCTTCCAGGATTTTAGGTTGTGGGCTGGGAAGAGCGGGCTTCCGGCCGCAGTGGAGGCGATCTTGATCGAAGAAGCGTTGGCTCCTGGCGAGGCATTCGCGGCAGAGGAGGATAAGCTCGGTGGGGCTGTTCTTCCTCCTCCTCCCCCTCCAGAGGCGACGCTCTCGGATAATATTTTGACCGTTTTGTTTGGAGCTGCCGCGCTGGGTCTTGTTGTTGTCACGGTCGGGGTAAGCCACACTCTCCCTCTCTTGCATCGCTCCCATAGAAGTGTAAGTTCTTTCTATCATTTCTGGTGGATTCTACTATAAGCTCATCGATTTTAATCTTTGTGTTGGAGGATGAATGTATTTGAGTGTTTTTTGTTGGAGCTCATTAGCTTGCGTGCTTCAAGTCTTTTTTCGTTCTTGCTATCATTTTTGTTTTGCTAAGTTTCATCGTTTTGATCTTTGAGTTGGAGGATAGAGTAGATTAAACGTTTGTACTGGAGCTATGCTTGCGTGCTCTTAGCTTCGTTACCAATCTTCCGCAGTTTTTCTTTTCATTCCCTTTCGGCAGTACCTTTTGATAATCTCTTCGTTCTCTTTTGACAGCTTAGTGATCGATCTTAACTCTTTTTACTCTTTTCTTGCAGGTTCTCTACTTGGCTGTGACGGATTTTCTAGAGAACAGGAAGAACGAAGATCTGAGAAAACAAGCCGAGGAACGGGAGAAGAGAGAATCAAAGTCGAGCAAGAAGAAATCTGCCGAGCAGATAAATACTCGGGCTGGGTCCAAGGGATTCGGTCAGTACGTACGTAAAGAAAGCGATTAAAGCTCTCTTTTTTTTTTTTCCCTCTCCTGTTACTTTGCTCGTGCTCTTGAGCTCGATGATCTTTCCTCTTTATTTACAGGAACACTTCTTACACGATACTGAAGAAACCACGGTCGAGCGTGAAAAACATCTTCTCGCTCGCGTGAGCGCTGCGAACCATGTCAGCGACATCGTCGGAGGTGTTGAGAGACGCACTGAGAACTTCCAGAGGGATGGACCCGTAGACAGACCTCGATCCGGACAGAAAACTCGGGTAGAAGCTCGACGTGAAGTGGATGCAAATCCATTCCATTGGGAAGCTCCCAGTATTCACCTGAGACAAACAGCCAGAGCTCAAACAATCGAAGATCGTCTAGAAAGACTTACAACAGCGTGAGGATGATATGGTGGAACAACGAAAACGTCGCCAGCATCAACCGTCTGGTCGATAGCTGCTTGGCCTTCGTGCGTTGCAACCTCGACTCGGCCTTTGCCTTTGGTCACGTAGACGATTTGTCCAGAGCCGAGAAGCCACTGTGGAGCAAACATGCTGGAGGGATTGAGCTTGACGAGAACCGCTCCGAAGTTCAAGTGTTCCAGGATCCTCATCTTGGTATCGTCCAGGAGCGTCATACGGCCACCGGACTCGATCACATCCGGGTGAGCAATCTCCATGTTGAAAGACAGATCACCTCGCATCTCTCCATTGTCAGATTGATCACTGCTAACTTCGTTGTCGAATTCCTACGCGGGGAAACAAAATCCAGTGACCATCTTTCGAAAGAGGAAGAACAAAAAGCTTGCCTTTGCGTCCGCAAACACGGAGCTCTTCTGCGCTTGAACGATGCTGCGGGCTTCTTTCATATCAACTTGGAACGTCCTCTTGAGAACCTCGTCGCTGAATCCGTGGAGGAAAGAGCCCTTCTTGCTTTCCTCGGATCCAGCAAGAAAGTAAGTCTTGCACGACTTACAATCTTCCTGGAGGACTTGCTTGTTCACGCAAAACATCTTCATGCCCAATCCACCAGTGTTCCATAGCCAAACCATCCATCCAGCGGGAAGAGCTACAACATCTCCAACTCTCACATATCTGGAAAAGATTTCAAGGCTTTGAGAAAACAATCTAAAAACAAATCGAATCTAAGAAGAAGAACACGAATCTAAAGAACTTGATAGAGAACATGAATTTAAAGAGCATGGGAAGATCATTCGATCAAAGTACCTCGTGTTTGTGGCTTCTCCAGAAGGACGAACGATTCCAGCAGTAGCCCTCCCTTCCAAGACGTAGCACAAGCTATCGGCATCCACATACATTGGCAGCACCAAACCATTTGGCTTCAAATGGATGATCTCGCTCTTGACGCCGATCTCTTCGAAGGCTGTGGCGTCGCGATCCCAGCCCAAAATCCTCCCGCCCTTCTCTTTCACGACCTTCCTGGGGTGGGGAAGCACGAGATCCGACGAGTCCTTGGCGCTGGCGAATCCAAGTGCCAGGAGCAGCAAGAACACGAATCTCATCACCATTGCCGCCGATTCTTGCAGGAAAAACCGGGAGATTATCGAAGAGGATGGATTGGAATGCTGCAAGGCGCGTACTCTTGACAAGGAAGCCCTAGCTAAAAAGAGGTCCATGCAAGACTAGCGCTCTCCACGCGGCAATAGCCATGCAGCAAACAAGCCAAGGATTGAGACAAAGTATTTGCTAAAAAATGCAAGAAGGTTCAGTAGTAGAGCTTAGACCAATGAAACGAGGGAGTTTTTCTTTTTCCAACTCAGCTTCTTCACTCATCACCAAGTTTCTTTGACGGATCAAGAGGGTGGCAGAATTTTACTGTTTCAAGTGCAAAACAGAGGCCAAACCAAATTATTTTATGGAGAATTTTAGTCTATGAATAATCAATTATTAATAGAAACTAAAAAATTCTGTTGACACCTTTACTCTAAAAATCTATTTTTTCAAAGTTACATGATCAAATATTAGTGATTAATAAGAAAAGGAAAAACTACTGTGGAAAGTTTCAAAGATTGTTAGTGATTATCTTCTAGATTTTAAATTATTTTTCTTTATCGTTTATTTTTATTTTTTAATGATCAATAGAAACTTTGAAAAGAGTATAATGTGTGAGTGTTTATTCACACCCACTGTTTAATATGAATTTTATGTAAAGTATTTTATGTAATTTGGACTAGTGGCATTTTTTATTTTATATGTAATTTGGACTCAGATGACCACAAAGGATGATCTTGAGGGTTTTTAATCACAAAATTCCCATCTTGCTGTAAATGGGCCAAGCATCCATCAATAGGCTTGTAAGGGTGCTTACTCAAGTATAAAATTCTTCCATTGCTCTTCTCAATTAACACCAACTTACAATCTATGCACAGGGTCAGCCTGTAAAGCCCATTCACAGAGTTCAAGCTATTTCCTGCTGGAATAAAAGACCCCGGAACTTTGTTTTGATTCCCTATAAGTGATGATTCAAAGCTCCAACAGTCACTTCCAGCAATATCATCCTCCATCACATTAGACGTATTTCTAATTACCTTGGGTGTCTGAGAAATAAAGGCCATACCATAGTTTTGTGCTTGGTAAACACCAAAGTTTACTTGATAGTGTATGGCAAAGTTTGAGAATTCTGTGCGTATTTCGGCACAAAACCTCCGCCTTCCTCTAATATAAGTCGAGGCATCTGAAAATATCTGATTTCTGATATTTCTGAAAGTGGCTCGCACTGAATGGGAGGGAAAACCAATTGTTATTAAGGGATCTGCAACACAAAACATAACAACAACAGGGGCGTTGATATAAAATGTAATCCTGAGTGTCATTGCACCAATATGAAACTCCACTGATGTGCTTCCCAGTGGAAAAAGGTTCTAAGAATTATGCCCAGTAGCATCAACGTAGTGAGTTGTAATAAAATTAGACATGAGCCGAATTACATCTTCGAATTGCTCAGGTGATAATGCACCTGAAGCCAGTTGAAAAACTGTTGTGGGATTGGAATAGTAGGGTGGTGGTGGAACTAAAGAATGAGCAAACTTTTGCAAAATAAAAATCAGCAAAACAATCAAAAAGTGGATCATTGTTCACAAAACTTAAAAAAACGAATATAGTGACGGATTTGTATTGTTCACAATTGTCTATTAAAGATATTAGAATATTCTGGATATTTAAATTAATTCATTTGTCGTTATAAATTTTCTAATTATTAAGCTAAGTTAAGTTATTTTCTAATGTATTCTTTTAAGATAGTTGTTTATGTAAATAGAATTGAATATCTTTTTAAAACCCCCAGTTCAGATTTGTATGTCGGTTTAATTAGGCAGCTTCTCCTTGAAGCTGATAAAGGTCCCGGTCTTTCAGGACGGTGCAGGTAGAATCAAAATCAGACATGAGCACCTGAAACGCCACATACCCTTAATTCCACCACCATATTCTTTTTGAGCTTGCGAGAGTTTATCTTTACCGAGAAGCTGCTCAAGTCGAGTAGGTTTAAGTTACATAAAAGAGAGAAACCTCACCACAAACCCAGTCGTTTCCTCCTGGAAACACTCTTGTCCCTTGAAGTAGTCGTGCTTCAAGCTTTGGTTCTACAAAAAATATTACAAGAAAGAAAGTCGACTCCTGTAGCTCCAGGCCAGATCCCTGAAGATTCGCACAGGGAGACATACTTTCACCTTTTGAGCCACTCTGAAAACTCCTTTCCAATCTCCTCAACAGGAAGCACAGGAAGCATATGTTTGTCTCCCGTCCCGTGCCAACTAGAGAAAAAACTAGTCGAAATGTCAAAGAGAAGAGAACACACACTCGACGCCAAGCCCTTAGAAATCCAGTCTTAAACTCAAAGATCTGAGGCCAAGCATCATCCTTGATTGAGGCTGCTCCTTAATTTGAATTCAAGTTAATCGAAATTCAGACTAAAGGATCTGTGGAGCTAGTGTTGCTCCAGAATGCATGGACTGGATGGAACCCAGGAGTTCTCAAAGCTACGGTACATGCACAGTCGTGTATCTCGGGCTCTTCTTTCTCCAGGAAGGTTCTCGATTCCGATTCGTCAAAGAATTTCAAACATCTTTCCTTTGATTTACCCAGACGGTCTGGTGGGGGCTTGCAACCACAGTATATACTAGTGAACTCTTTCATGTCCATATCCGAGAACTTGTTGAGCCCAGCTGTCCATGAGGCGTGTGGGTTGCTGTTGTGATGCTGCACCCACAAGTAGTTTTGCTTGAACACGCCGAAGCGGTACGTCTCCTCCTCTTTGCTTGCATACGTCTTGCCAAACTCACAGTATTCGTCCAGATGCTCAGAATTTTTTTAGCATATCCTCCAACTTTTTGAGTAAGAGTCATGCCTCAGTGTTGTTTGAAATTGGACTGGATGGACCAGATGTTCAGAAAGTCCATGTGCCCCAGAGTTCTTGAAGCTTGGAAGAGACAAAAGAGCACGTCTAGCCCGTGGCCCAAGAAAAGGTTGAGAACAGTTTACTGAAGAAATGGAACAGGAGAACCAACCAGGGTCCTCATGACATCCTCGTCCATTTTTTCGATATATTTTATCCAATGGGAGCACGGCATCAAAATGACGACTATACCAGTTAGATGAGAAGGACGAAAGGAAGTTGTAACCATCCCATAGTTATATCTATCTATTCTAGATCCCCTGTTGAATGTTTTTTGCTTGCTGTGTTTGAATCTTATATTAGCGAAGGTTTATAATATATTGTAGGTTTATAATATATTGTGGTGAGAAAGGAGTTTTTAAATGTTTGGTATAAGCTTGGAAACTTTCACTCTAACAAAGAACTTCCTCTTCCTTTTCAAGGCCTCCTTTAGCAGCAATTCACTCTTCTTCCCCCTGTTCATCAACATCAATCATTCCCGGGAGATACTGCTCAAATAATCCACTTGCAGATCGTCAGATCTGGGCTAGATCGAGACCACCACCTTGGAAACCAGTGTATATCAAATGTGGCAGCCTCGCTGAAGCTATAATATAATATTGGCTCTAGGCAAGCTTGTTTGAACCGCAATCAC